AGATTCGATCAATTATCATTACACATTAGTGGATGATATGAATTGTAATTACAGACACTAAAAGACATTAAACAATGAGGAAAAACAAAATACTAATATATTTAAAAAATCGAACAATTGATAATGAAAAAACTGATGAAATGAAAAACTTTTGAATAACAAAAGTATGAATACTTACAAATTAAACAATTAATATGATGAAGAGATGGGGCAAGACGATAACTGATGAAAAGTAGGACTGAATGCAGATGATGAGAAACAAATGAAGAAACAAATCAAAATGAGTTTGAGTTAAAGTGAAAATCTAGATTTGGAGCTATTACAGAGTGATAATCTTGATGCAAAGCTGCAAGCTAATTTTTTGTTTGCTCAAGAATTAGTGTGATGAACAGATATTACACTGAAAAATATATATATGTTTACATATTTTGTCATCACAAAATCATCTAACTGATGATTTTTAATCACAAAACTGCAATTGTTTAAAACTCCGATGAATCTAAATCCTTGGTCAAGGGCATTCAAGGTCATTGCGTATTCGACCTCTAACTGATATTTTGAGGTCATTTTCTGAGAGTGACAAAATTTTGAGATTGGTCCATGCTTGTTGTATGTTCATAACTTATGCTGGTCAAAAGATATGAGTGTTTACACATTTTTATGTTGATCAATCGGTTTTCAAGAAAAATTCATTTATCTTTCCAACGGTGTAAGATACTAACTCGTAATCAACATCAGCCAATATGAAAATGATTAAACTCTTGCAAAATGACCTCAAAATGACCTTGTTAGTCACAAAAATTACTGAGTCAACTTGCTTTAGCAATTTCGGTTCTTGGAATAGTTTAAACCTCTAATTGTGATAAAGATTGTAAAATAATGGATGATACATAAACAATGCAAGCTTTGATATGAAGACGCAGTGAAAAATTAGCTGATGATAATTAATTGAGAAAAATTGGTGTTTACAAATAGTCTTTATTAACAGATACAAGCCGGCTCTTAATCTTTATGAAAATTGAGGATTTGTACACGATAAGTGGTTATTCGGATCAATAATTTGAATGGATTCTGCTAGATACTGTCAATTAAACCTGTAAGTTGAATCAAATTGTGGAAGAGAGAATGAAAAATATTTAAAATGGTCCTTCTTATTTCCAGGTTAATGAATATGGTTTTTATGGGCAATCTATTGCTAAATTACAATATCATTATCAATGAAAACCGCAGAGTATATCTCGCTGATGAAAACATTAACCAGAGGTTTATTGGTAAGGTAAAAGCTGCAAAAAATGACAATAAATCATGATGATCATGAGATTATGATAAGACAAACATGTCGACAATTTTATGCATTAAATGTAATAATTTCTCATTTTTTGGTTCCTTGTTTATTTTTCATATTTAAGATCACCTTTAGATTAATGATGCTGATAATGAATATTGCGGTATGTTCATTTTGAATTGTGCATTACCTTGAAAAGTCTTGCTTTCGGACTTACCTTTCACCAGCTAACGCCAACGCAACTAGAATCGTTAAAAACTCATTATGACAATAGATTCTGACTGTCAACATTTATTGCTTCATATGTTCCTTAAAAAATTTGTGCTATTGTTTTCCTGAAATGTGTTGGTCGACTGAGTCAATCTAATCATTTAAACTCAACTTTTCATGATTCACATTAATTCAAAATGTTATTCATAAATTATCTTAATATTATCATATTATTGATTAACAGTAAAATAGTTTATTCAAATGTGACATCATCATCTGATTTCTTTGCCAAACAATCTTTTCTCGTACAAACTGGATTTTCAAACATTGTGTGGACTTACATTGGGTCAAGTGATTTTAAACAACAAAATGTTTCTTCTTCATGTAAATCTAGTTTATACCATGTCATTGAATCGATTAAACAAGGACAAGATTGGGCATTTAAATGTGAGTACAAATTAATTTTAGCTCTAATTTAGGTCTAATTTTATATTTCATTTCCAGTATCTGATGCATCAGGACGTGTCCCAGCTGATTTCATTGGTTTGGGTAGCGTTGATCCTGGTAATTATGATAAGTGTTTAACTCTTGATTGGACTGGACCAAGTGGACTGAAAGAAGCATCAAAATATTGTTTCGTATCTTTACTACCAAATAATGAACAAAATTCACAAACCAAAATATACACTCAAGATAAATTACTTTATTCAAAATTTGGTTTTGATATCCAAATTGGTTTCTGTATACCATCAACATGTTCAAATGACGATCTAACCATTACTTTAAAAGAAGGTAAGATGAAATTACAATTAATTTCTTTATTAACCATTTCTTTATATAATTTTATACTAAATTGCCGTTTAATTTAGCTTTAAAATCATATTCATGGGATCTAGTTACTATCAGAAATTGTGAAGTTAAAACACATTTCATCCAGAGGTTAGTCCAAGCCTCAACACTTCAAAAGATTTGCCTGTAAGTTAAGATTCAATTAGCATTTGTACTATGGTTATTGATTCATTTCTTTATCTTTCAGATTCATCTTGGCTATTCTTGTTCTCACCGTGTTTTACTCAACATATTTGGATAGACAATCAACATTAAGTGCTTCTGAATCGCCAACAAAATTTCAATGGTTTAAACACTTCTCAATCATCTCTAGTTATCGTCAAATTGCCGAGCCAAATTGGTCGTCGGGTCGCATGTTGTTTCTCGTTAAATTTGCTATTTTAATGCACTCAATAGTTTTGCTTGAACATGTGATAGCATGGCCATTTTTTTCAAAAACCTTCCCTTTCATAGGTAAAACTTTGTGTAATACTCAGCAATACAGACAATGATCAGCTCTAATTCACTTTAATTTACATTTTGAACCACCAGCGGTTTCTAGCCAAGTAGCACTTCATCAAGACAGGAAAATACTGCAATACACAAACGCTGAATGGATCAATGAAGGAATATTCGTTTATGGGTAAGTTTCAGCATTTTGATCAAAGCCATAGTTGAAATTTGATTCAATCTTTATAATATTAGAGGGACCGCTCGAGCTTTGGATCTATGGAAAAATATTGGACCAGGAACATCATTCACTCGGTTACTGATCAATATTGTGTTCAAATGGATTTCGTATGTTTTACCTTGAGCTTTCCATCAGTTGCGATGCTTATAATACGCTTTGACCCTTACAGATTATCATTTTTGATGGCAATTACAATGTTCATTCAGATAGTGTTGCCGTTATTCATTTCTGGACCTTCTGGTGTAATAAAAAACTCAGCAAAGGCTTGTGAAAAGTCGTTCTTCAAAGTCATCTTTCAACACAACCATTGGCTTGACGGCCCAGATGACTATGTAAGTACCTGATATTAGATGAATATGTGAAATCAATTTTTTAATTTTCGTTTCAATTATCATTATTTTCTAGTGTTTGGTGCATTTCTGGACAGTCAATGTTGAATCTTACTACTTGATCTTACTTGTAACACTCATCTACCTCTACAAACGTCGTCCAAAAATTGCTTTATACCTGAACATCATTTTATTGGGTGCTTCTTTACTTTTCGTCGCTTCACATTTTTACATAAATCAACACAAAATTCACGCTGGTATTCGAGTAGACGATTATGAGTAAGATAGAGATATAAATTGATCTCGAATTGTTATGATCATTTAAACGTTATTTTGTTGATTAAATAGGGAAGCAATGAGATACGGTTTTGGCGTTTACGCGACAGGCTTTATGCATCTTTGGATTTACATGCCAACAATTTTGTCCGTTTATCTGATTATGAACAATTATGATGATATTATAAATAAGGTGAGTTAATTTCATGATGATTCGAAAAGTTGTCCAATTTCTTATATTCGTATTTACTTCTGTTTAAGGTACACTTTTTGAGAATTGTGTCTCGCAATCTTGTCATTTTTGCTGGTATTCTGTCGATCTGTCCAATGATATATTTTTTTGCGGTCAACTTTAACCAGACTCGATTTACTGATGCTATTTATGCAGCACTTCAACGAGTTTTGGTTATCATATTTTATTCCATCGTTTTGCTTCTCAATGGCGAGGAAGCTAAAAGGTGCTGCTCAAAAGCCAAAAAAGTTAAAATAGATGAGAGTGACGAGGACAACAATACCATAGGAAATATTGAAAGTATCTCAATTAGTCCTGGAAGAGGGAAATTTTATCACGTCTTGTCGACCATTTTGCGATCAACTTACTGGATTCATATTCCCGTATTGATTGTGGGCATTAACTCGCTACGATATCCAATATTAACACAAAGTGGACTGGTAATTATATAATTGAATTTGATGAGTTTTATCCACTAATTTGCTTCTTTTTTTCTCGTTCCCACAGATTTACCATCTAACTGGACAAATTTTTTACTGCTTATTCGGTGGATTTTTATTCCATTTATTTGTAAATGCACCGACCAACAGTATTTTTCACTCACTGAAAAAGTCTTTATCTCTTTGAATGTTACATTATTGTAACAAGCTGAGCCCCCGATCATGGCTGATCGTAAATTTTTTTTCACTGAATACAATAAATTCAATCCACATTTAAAGACTTGAATGCTTTATACGAAATCATTGCCAATGAGAAAAACTAAAAATTTTCGTTCATTTTGAGAGTTTTACAGTTCAAGCACCAGATATTTAACTTACTCTTTGCTCGAAAGACAGTTTTACATATACTCCTAACCCAACAATAAACCATCAATCTGAATACAAAAAAGTTTTTCCCCCAAAGTCAATAGTAAAAGATACGGATTCTGCATTTTCCCCCCCACCCTGTTTAAACGCTAATTTCTCAGCAACCTGAATTCCGAGAAAGCTCTGACTATTTTTCGTCATTGAAGTTCAATCAGGGCTTTAATTCTATGTAAAAATTTTCTTTAGAACCCGTTTAGTTTGGACACAATCTTCCCGCAAAAATTTCATAGTTCGACTTTATACATTGCTAATCGATCAGCAACCGAAGCGGTTCAAGTTTTTGGTGGCGCTGGTTTCAATGCTGAATATCCTGTTGAAAAATTGATGAGAGATGCAAAAATATTACAAATTTACGAAGAAACTGGAGAAATTCAAAGAATGGTCATTGCTCGTGAACACATTACAGAATTGGCTAAGAAAGTAATGTAATTCCTTAATTCGAATGCGTAAACAGAGTTAACCAATTTGAATTTTTCTCGGATTTTTCATCAAATTCTGAACCAACAAATTATTATACCTCAAAATCATCTGATATAATCATCTTTAAATCATATCTACAAATCTAAATATTTTAAATTAGAGCGCAAATAATTGATTCAAATCAGCAAAATGTTTATTCAAAATTAAATTGATCGGATCAACTCTCAGTCTTCTGAATCTTCAAAATCATCCTTTATTTCAATATTCAGAATGAAAGAAACAGAAAAAAGAATGGCCCTGAACATCCAACATAGACAGAGTTGCTAATTTTAACAGAAAGTAAATATTTTGTGGACAAATGTTTAAAATGAAAGAATCTCGGCAAGTTCAATAAAACCTGAACTAGCCGAAAGATAAACCAGAAACTGGTTCAACAAACAAATGAGGAAAAAATCAAAAAAAGGTTCACACTTATTAATAAGTTAATTTTTAGATGTCACCATCTCAAGCATATTTAGTTTGCAGAGATAAGAAAAAAATACAATAGAAAACTGAACAAAATAAAGTTCGATCTTATTGGTACTTCCATTTACCATTGACTATGAAAAACCTCCGCTTTTATTAACTTTACCCTGACCACTTCTGCACCAGAAAACCAGAAAAAAGTTGTAACTATATCTGAACAGAAAGCGATTTTGAAAATATTGATCTTGAAATATTTTTAATTGCACTAATGGACTTCATTTTTACTACGCCTCTTCAAAATAAGGTGTCAACCCTTAACTCGATACTCAAAGCTACACATACATTGAAAACAATATTTTTATTATGACTGGCGCATTTATCTGAGACTATCTGTTTGGTTAGAATCTGAATCATGATTATTCTAGATTACATTCGTTAGTCACAAAAATCACTGTGTCAACCTGCTTAAGCAATTTCGGTTCTTGGAATAGTTTAAACCTCTAATTGTGATAAAGATTGTAAAATAATGGATGATACAAAAGCAATCCAAGCTATGATACCAAGACGCAGTGAAAAATTAGCTGATCATAATTAATTGGGAAAAATTGGTGTTTACAAATAGTCTTTAACAGATTTTGTAAACAAGCAAATCCTAGTGGATTCAATGGTAATAACCAGAAGTGGTAAACTCGAAATAATATTGATAATTGGTAAAATGTTGAAGTTTATTTTTTGTTAAACTTGATCAACAACACAATCAAGAAATCATTCTGCTACTGAGTGATAAATACGCCAATTGTTACATCCAATGTTAGTCTTTACATTGATTCTTAAAACAAGAAATCAAGTTTTCTTTTTCTCTTCTTCTCCAATTTACCTTGAAGTTGGTGCTTCATTGGCTAACATTCATTATTTCAACTAACCCATTGGTTCCTTTGCAAGGTCATTCAAGTTATCTGGAAACATGAAAATTCTTCTTCTCCTTGTTCAGTAATAAATCAGTTTTCTCATCATTAAAGGCTGATCCTTTTTTTTCCTGTGCGCGCAATATTTTCATACAATTTGAACACGCTTTGATCATATGTTTGTTCAGCTTTGAATTAACCCAAAAAAAGAGAAGCACCAGATTATGCAGTGAAACCAGATTCTGGTTGAAAAAAAGCTACAAAATGAGCAACATAATTGATAATCAGTGAAATGAGAAGATTATTAATATCGATTGTTGAACCTTCCATTTGTTATCAAGACACAAATGAATATAATGGCGGAAAACAATTTACTAATCATATTGAAAACTGATGTTTAGATTATCTTGAATGATTATTTTTATCCATAACCATGAGCATTATAAATGTGTATTAACTCAAAGAAACAAGTTAATCGTAAGATTTTGATGAATTCAGAGTTAAATCAAAAGTAATATCAAAATTATCACATTAATATTATTAATCCATTCAATTTTTACCTTTAAATTGATCAAAGAAACATCCATTTTTGTCACTTTGATTCTTATTGTTAATTGTTTTCACTCTATCAAAGGTATGCTTGGTTAGTCTTAATTACTTTTGTCTATTCCTTTATGATCATTTTAATAATCTCACAATAAGCTTGAATCACAACTTGAGTTACATTTAGTCAGATAATGGTCAATGAGTTTAGATACTTCGAACTTTAAACATTTAGATTGTCATTACGTTAATATCGCTATTAAAATCACAATTAGAATCACTATTGATATCATTATATAAATGGAAGTCATTGTTAGTTTTCTGTGAATTGCACTGAAAATGTTATTAAAGTCAGGCAATTATTTTGGGTTAGTCGCAACCATATTGGTTGACCGTAACTTGAGTTGTTTGGTTTCGCTTTTGACCGACAAATTGATTAAATATGATCAACTAAAAGGTAATTTTGTCACTCAATTTTTGGCCAAAACAAATCAAATTAAAGGAAAGGAAAGAAAGGCAAAATAGAAAGTCAAATGAAAATCTGTCTCTACTCATATCTGCTGTCTGTCTACACTGCGTATGCTTAAAGCCTCGCCTAACTTTATGTTTCCAATTTTATCCACCAGATGAAAAAAATTAGCTTTACTGTTTATGTGAATTTTTTTATAATTGTTAATTGTGTCAATACCAGCATCATAATCATTATAATCATCAACATAATCATCATAGTTTTGTTGTTGATCAACATAGTCACCATTCCAAATCAACGGCTATTAAGCTGTCTGTGATAGACACCAAAGAATGGGTCTTCTTATATATACTTTATATGGATTTGCTATTTTTTTCTTCTCTGGTTGGATATTCATCTGGCTGGTACATTTTCTGGCTATTTTTAATGGGTAAGAATTACGATTATTGTGTCAAAAATTATTGATTTACAACTGTTAATATTATTGTAGTGGTTAACATGTTTCAATACTCTTGTATAGCAATGTTTGCCTTTACCTCATGCTTTCCGCTTACTTTCACTTTCACCCATAACCTCTAAACAACCGGTCCTTCAAGTGTTCAGTTTACATTCAGAGTAGATTGTCTGATTTTTTTTTCACTCCTGACTTTTCTTTGCTTAATCATTCAACTTAATGAGACCTTGTTCACATTTCTGACCATGTAATTTTCATCTATTCAGCTTCTGTTTTTCACTTCTATTTCTCCTTTTATTCTCCTCTACCTCTCCTTTGACTCTTTTTTTTCCCTATTCAATTTTATCGATCAAATTTGCTAATGATACTGATGATACTTGATGATATTAACCTAGTTCTATGGGGAAATCTTAGCAGAACTGTGTATTTTTCAAGATCAATCTGATTGATACCTTTTTTTTCACTTTGCAGAAAAATGAAGCTCCACAAAAAAATAAATGTACCTGCAGAAACTCCACTGCCTGGGGTATCCATTATAAAGCCTCTTGTGGGTATCGACTCAAATTTATTTATTAATTTGGAAAGTTTTTTTCTCATGAACTATCCTCAGGTAAGCTCATCAAAATATATCTAATCAATAATGATAATCTAATTTGACATTTCTTTATTTTCATGTTCACAACAGTTCGAATTACTATTTTGTATTCACGATGACAATGATGCCTCAATTATGTTCGTTAAACGTTTAATTGATAAATATCCTAATGTAGATGCCAAGATATTCATTGGTGGAAGCAAAATCGGCATCAATCCTAAAATAAACAACATGAAACCAGGATATGATGCAGCTAAATACGATCTAATACTCATTTCAGATAGTGGAATAAGAAGTATGTGCCATTATTTACCTTTGTTTTCTTCCTCCTTCTCCCAAATTTGGACAACTCTGTGCATTAATAAATTGTGTTTCAAAATCAAATTAGAATTTTTCATAAATCAGTTTAAATTTGCCTCTAAAGTTTCAGTCATAATAAGTCATCGTTTGTTCAACCTCATATATGTCCCTCAATACCTTGATTTGTCTGATAAATTTGGCAGACACCAGTTATTCAGAATTTGTTTCAACTTTTGGTTCAGTTAAAATAGTAAACCATGCCAGGAGTCTTTGTGTACACCAACTCTAATGCACAGATTTATTCAACTCTATGCCATAATCAATTATTACTTGGCAATGATAAATCATTTGCCACTTTGATTTTCCAACAAAATTCATTTTTATGCATCATTTTCTTGTTTTTTTTTTCTCCATAGTGAAAGAAGATACTTTACTTGATATGGTTACTTCAATGAAAGAAGATGTGGCTCTAGTTCATCAAATGCCATTTACATGTGATAGAAAAGGTTTTGCGGCAACTCTAGAAAAAGTGTACTTTGGCACAGCCCATGCACGAATTTATCTATCAGCTGATTTAGTAGGAGTAAATTGTTGCACAGGAATGTCTGCCTTAATGCGAAAACACCTTCTCGATGAAGCTGGAGGTTTGGAAGCATTTGCACGATACCTGGCCGAAGATTTCTTTTTTGCCAAATCTCTGGTCGATAGAGGATGGAAGCTAAGGATAAGCTCACAACCAGCCTGGCAAAATGCAGCACCATTAGCAGTTCAATCTTTTCAAAATAGAATTTCAAGGTGGGCTAAATTAAGATTTGCCATGGTTCCTAGTACCATCATTTTAGAGCCAATATCCGAATGTGTTTTCTTGGGCATCTTGGCTTCCTGGTCATTAAATTTTCTCTTCCAATTTGACCCGTTTGTGGTTTACCTTTTCCATGCTCTTCTGTGGTTTCTACTTGACTATGCGCTACTATGTATCATCCAAAATGGATCATTACCGTTTGCTAAAACAGAATTTGTGATTGCATGGTGTTTTAGAGAGTTTACAGCCGTAATTGTATTCCTCAAAGCTCTATGGGATCCAGAGATTAAATGGAGGACAGGAACCTACAAATTGAAATGGGGAGGATTAGCTGAAGAAGTAAAGACAAAGCTATAGCACAAGGATGTTATAAGAGAATTAAATTTTATCATTTGCGTGTAAATTTAATCGCTGGGTCAGTTCAAGTTAATAAGGATGTGTCAAATGGAAAGAGAAAAATTGGTCGTTTTTTTCTCCTTTTTTCAAGTTGATACTTTCACTGGCACATGGACACATCTGAATTTAAGCTCCAAAGCAAAACCATCAAAGCAAAACACTTAAACATCATCAAAGGACACATCAAAATTGACGGGTTTCATCTTATTTTTGTTTAAGGTGTCAAACCTTTCTACTCGCCATTGTTTCTTATTGTGGGTGGTTTCGTTCCACTAAGAATATTTATACATACCTGTTTATATTTGAATATCTCTCTTTTTTGGTGTCTTATCGGGCATCTCTACTTCAAGAAGATTCACTCTTCTCTCCCTCAGAACGTCCTTGTGCGATAGAAGAGAAAGCAAATTCGATGTTCAGATCATCATTTTCAAAATTTCTCCTTTCGAATTGCTTACTTGACAATGAAACTCTACATTTCCTTCTTCATCTCCATTTCTTCCTCTTCTATGGTACAACGCAAACCTAGTGCCTATCATTCCTATTTCATGATCATTTTATGAATCTGTTAATATGTGAGCTGCTCTATCAACTTGTTACATCACAATTCTAATCTGGAAATTTGATTGGAATACGGGGAAAAAAAGAAGACATCAAGACATCGAACATTTTTATCGATGGATAAAGAAAGAACTAAATTTAACTTCTCTTCAAAAGTGAAGTTGAAGAAACAAACCAAGGTCACAACCCGTCAATGATGTATTATGGTTTTATTCATTAAATTTATAGCACAGTTATAAAGTACTTCCGGATGCAACCAATGGAAGGTGAAAAAAAATGCAATCCAAAGGAATAATTGTACAGTTTTAAAGCAAACACGAATTCTGGTGAAAATTGTGACAAGTTATTGACAACAATAGCATAAAACAAAGCAGGAATACAAAAAAATGTTGAACACAATTTTCCAGTTTGTTTACAGACAAGAGCAGATTACCAAAAGTGCAAAGATGAATCCATAAAGAATGATTTATTGTTTGATATGGAATTAACCATTATCTTCTACTTGGTTCATCTCACACATACTGAAACAACAACAAGCTCGATGAAGATGCAAGTAAACAAATCTACCAAGAAAGAGAAAAATTGAAGCAACACAGCTACAAAGAAAAGAAAAATCAACCAAAAACTAGTCATATTTAATTTTATTTTTATTTATAATTGTAATTCCATTCCTTCTACAATTTTGATGTTAACCCTAACCTTCCAAGAAATCTTTCGCCTCCTTCAATCATCATCCTTTTTCCTCTCCACATCTCTCCCAACCTTATCCTCACAGCATTGCTCATTGTACAAAATGCCATTAATATAAATAATTTGATTAGACTTGATATGAGAAGACAAAAAGGAAACTAAGTTTCCTACTTAACAACAAATTTAGATCACTAATTGTTTATTATATTATTATATATGCTAAACCATTATTACCAGTACTATATCCAGTTTCCCCTTCAAAAATTTTTTTAATAATAATATTGAAAAAAGAAGCAACACCAATAACACAAAGCAACACTTTTTACATCAACTCAACTCAATTTGTAGACTTCAACAAAAGACAAGCAAGGCAACCAACCAAGTCCAGGACAAGGAGAGAGAAGAGTTAAAGCGATGTCAACAAAAAAAGCCGGAGTAATGAAACAATATGATAATCAGATTGATTGAGACATTAATTAGGATAACCAACTTTGACCAGTGCATGTGAACGTTGCCAAATGAACGGATAACACACAAAACAAGAATCCTTTTCCTTGAACCCGTTCTTCTTATTATCCATTTATTTTCCGCCTTTTCCATGTATTCCTTCATGTCTGGTTGTAAACACTGCGTAGCAGTTAACTTATCATTCGTCTTATCATTTCCTTGCATTCTTCCCTTTTCCCTCCCTTCTTTTCCTCCTCAACCTATCAAACCAATAATGATGATGGTGATGGTGATGATGATGATCAAGGTTCAAAGATCTGGCTTAGGATGAATACCGATATTGGCCATATTCAAAGCACGAGGACTGAAATGGAGGAAAACATGAAAAATGTGTCATCTTTATGCGTGCTCATCAATCAACTTATCAACCCTGAAAACTCTCTCCTTGTCGTTTCCATAATTTACATTAATTTATCTTAACCAAAGATTAACCCTGAAATGAATAATTTATTTAGAGGCAAAAATCGTAGGAGATACAAAAATCTGAAAAAACATGAAACGCTTTACCGAGAAACCGTTACAACTTGACATTTTTCCTTAAACTCCAATTGAATATTTCATTTCAACTACCTCTTAATTCATCTCATCATTGTTCTATTTTTTCTACAATCGCCATTCTCATCTCTCTTCTTTCACCATTCATCCTAACCATCATTTCCCTTTCCGCAATCAACTACTTTTCATCCCATTTTACCAATTTCTTTAACTTTTTCCTCTCCTTCTTCTTCTCTTTGTAAATTGAATTGAAAAGAAAAAGATTATTGGTAAATTCTTAAAAAAGCTAATCATGATTTCGTTTATTCTTGTCCAGCAATTAATTACTTTAATTGGTCCAATTGAGAAAGTAAAACAAAACCAATTGTAATACAAGCAAGCAAGAAAAAAGTCAACCTCTTTTGGCTGATTCATTCATAAGGAAACAATGACAATTGATGAGACAGTTTAAATTGTTTCATTGTCGTCTTGAAATACCAATTAGCTTGAAAGCAATTCAAATGTTATCACAATTAGACACAATTATTGATAATATTCAAGTCAAGTGTTGCCATTGCTAAATAACACAATTTAAAGTTGTATTTCGGGTTATTGAACAAATGGGCAGAAGAAGAAAAAATTGATGAATATTTTACTTATTACAATTCGTCTCTTTTTTTGCTGGTTTTCTGGGTTAACCAAGTTTGAAGAGGATAAATAGATGAAAATAAATAATGACAATAATAGCTAATAATAGCTGGAAAGTAAATTACAAATTGCTGTTGATGGAAACAGAATTGTAATGAAAGAAAGTGTTGAACACGGCAACAACGAAAGCAACAACAAAAAAAGGATAATCGGACAAGTCCATTCAATTAGAATCCAATCTAATCTAATAATAATGTTTGTCTCGATCGATTTATTGGTACCAAAATAATAAGGATGAAATTGGATAACAAGAAGATGAATCTGATGACGAGGAGTGAAAAAAAGGTGATCATGATCAGGATGAGAATGATATTGAGTGAAGATTGGAAAAAAAGTTAGCTTCAGTTCAAAGTGGCAAACCCGATAAGTGAAGCTTCAAAAGACTAATCAAAATTGATGAACATGAAGATGATCAAGATGAACATGAAGATTAAAAATGATGATGACGATGATGAAGACGATGATGAAAATGTTAATGTTGATAATAATTAAAGGATTGATTTTAGGGAAGAGACAAGATGGGTTTAGTGTTTGATGATGTTGTTAGAGTTTATACCGATTTGGAGGATCGCCTGTTTTAGGTCATGAAGGTGGGTCTTCAAAGTTTCAGCGTTTATCAGAACGGATAAAACGCCTGGTTTGCCGGTTGAATGTCGACTTTTGCTTTATATTAATATGTTATACCTTCAATTGAAATCACATTGTTAGATGATATGAGCTTAGTAACATTAACCCATCTTAACGTCAAGGTAAATGTTATTATATTTACCGATTGCATTTTTTGATCTTTTTTTCTTTCTCTTGTGCGTTACATACGTTTGTTGATTGTTGATTTTTAATTTTTGTGTTTTCTGTGTTTCTCTTTTTCTTTTAGTGAAATCTTCAAACTCAACTCAAGCCCTGTTTTTGGTATCTTTTTTCATCAAATATTCCACCTTTTTACTGGACAACAACCACCATGTTATTTACATTTGTTTTCACCCTTTTAGTAACAATATCAGGTAATTTACCATTTTTGTTCATTCAATCACACATTGGAACCTTTTAGCTTAATGCTTTTATCGCTATGATGTTAACATTGAGAAGCAATCAGTCCTTGTTTATTCATGTTTGATAGTAAAAGTGATTGAGCTTTTTAATTTAGATTTATGTTCCTTGACAATTAAATTTCAAACTAACCATTGGTTTGCTTTTTAGCAACTACCAAATGTTACTCAAACTGCTGGTTGAAATATTGGAAATATAATTGAAAGAAATTGTAAGATTGGAGTATTTTAGGTGAAATTAGATTGTTTAGCTTTAGTTGAAATAATTCCAGGTGTAATATATAAATAGTTGAATGTAACGATTGAGGAGAATGATTATTTCCATGAAAATGGTTAACACTCGTTATTAATTCAAATTTTGCTCCAAAACATTAGGTTTCCAATGCCAACGCCAAGGACCTCAGTTTAACTTTCCCGGTAATAATGGATCACCTGGTTCACAAAATTTTCAACCCTTCTCACCACCGGCTGCTCCAGCTTCAACACCGAGGGAACAAAACTCAGCTCCAGCCAATGTACCCGCTCCACCACGACCCATTCCAGCGGTCAACTTTGTCTGCCCTGAAAAGACTGGATTCTTTCCACACTCCAAAAGCTGTGATAAATATTATGCCTGTGAAAATGGTACCGCTACCTTGAAAACCTGTGGAAATGGTTTAGTTTTTGATGATGCTGATTACATGAGGGAAAACTGTGCCTATCCATTCTCTGTTGACTGTGGTCAACGTACAGACATGGGTTAGTTTACTTTTTTGATTTTTATTCAATCCAATCCATTGTTTCCAATCTAAAGCCATTCTCGTTATCCATTCAACCCTTGAGACGCTATCTTTTAACAGGAAAACATTTCCAGCTAACGTAAGGTTACTAGCTTACAGCCGTGTCTATCCTTTTCATTTCTTGTTGGTGTTGCCCTGATATTTTGACCTAATATTGTCAATATTTGGTGCTTTTGTTATCTAATTTGCCTGCTGAACAAAGCTTCTCCCCATGATGATGATGTTTAACAGTTATCAATCAATACAGTCAAAGTTGGAAGTAATGGTTAAGGGTTAAATGGTTTTTTGGTTTCACAATTAATATCTTGAAGTTTCAAAAAAATCACAATCTTTGTTATTGGAAGGTGTTGTTGACTTTTAGATAAGATTTTTTTCCTCTCCTTCACTCCTTTTATTGACATCATCATCAACAGCAATCAACAAAATTCGATTCACGTTGGCGTATAGACATTACACCTTAGACGTTTCATACTTTCGCTGACAACGATTAGTACCACACCTGCGATGCAAAACTGTTTAAGCTGATGATCGCCTTAATCATGAGTAATATTTGAACATTTAAATTGAGCTCAATACAAAGCAAGTGAAATGAAATTCCGTTGATTGTTTGTATAATTGAACGCGAATAGACTACATCCAAGCCTACCCTGAGAGATTAGGTAATACAAATTATTAACCTTAAAATGATTAATACTTTTAATGATGGACCAAATGATTTACCTGATGCATATTAATACATTTAGATTGTCTTGCTCATGGTTTTGTTAGACAGTCTTGATTGTTGTTTCTGGATGGTCTGTCAATTGAAACTAACATTATATGTTTAACAAATTATTTACCAAATAATCTCGCTTTCATCTCAATCATGCTTTATTTTGCCAGCCTTTTATCATTAAGATGACAGCAAACATCAAACAATATGAAATCGTTAAAATGAAAACCGTCAAAATCATGCTCTACTTGCAATTGATTGCAATCAAAGGTTTGCTCATCTTCATCCAACTGAGTCTTTAAACACCAACAGATACACTTACACTTGATGCACTTTTCAACTCTAATATAGTTTTAATCACAATAATCACTCCAGTATCACTGAAATATTCATGGTGCGAATTATATTCAACATTAATTGTCTAATCGGTTTATTTATGCCTACAATTTGAATGTCAACAGGCATTTAATTACCATTTTATCAACCATTTATACGGACTGTGCCTTCGTCACAGAGCAATTAACTGACTTGAAATGTGATGATGGTAATCAGTGACAACAGTAAAATTTTGTAACAACATGAGAATGCTGATGATACAAGCTTAGTTTAGACGCTAATTTATTCAGTTCCAATTGGATGGATAAAATTTTAATATCGATAACTTGTAGAGTTAAGCATTTTACAAAAGCTTGAAAAAATATATTACAATCAAAGCTAATGATAATTATGTTTAACGGTCTACTCTTATACATATTTACAGCTTGATGGAGTTGATGCCAGCTTAACCCAAACAGTTGCCTAATATGCAAATAAAAAAGTGGAAATTTAACAATTTCTCGATTCACCAAACTATAATACATAATGAGATAACAATTAGACACACTAAGATGTAATTTAGTTAGTTTATTATTCAATTTATGGTTTAGGATGGTCTTTAGATCATCCACAATAACAGTAACAACAAAAACCTATTTTTGCTTCTAAACAAACCCGAATAATTTTCTGGTATTTGGAAAGCTTTGAACCCAAACACTGGTTAAATTAGGAAAATTGAAACATGTAATTAGTTTGTAAAAACAAACAGACAAAAATTATTGATCAATTTACGCTTAAACATGCAATTAATCACAATTAAGTTGGCAAACATTTTCAAGTTTCACTTTTAACTTAATTTCTTAATTCACCTTATAGCCGGTATTATATACCAACGGAAATTTTCAATATGAAGATTATATGAGCAAAAGAATCCAAACAATCAAAAATTGAATCAAGATATTAAATGGATTCGATGGGTGGAAAAGACTTTCATCTTTTATATTGATTTAGATTTAATCATTTCTCATTTTGTTGTGTTTTTAATTCCGGGTCTTAAGTCTTGGAGGTTCGGTAAAGTCAGGATATTAAGCCAAAGCTTCCTAGTTTCATGTGATTTAATAATAGACTATCATTATTCTTGATAGATTGGACCATTTTGAAACAGAGATTTCCAATTACAGCGATTTTAATTTCTGATTGTTTCTCTCGGAGATTGTTTTGATTCACTGGTAAAGCATATCAGAATAGCATTGTTTGAATATTTGACAGGTCCACTTGCCTTGACTGGTTCAACAACACAAGAAATGAAAAATAAGACTAATTGGTGAAGTTAATTGATGCACAAAATATTCAAATACAAATTGTGAATATAAATTGTAAACAAAGAAACCAGAAAATTATTGGCCATCGCCATCTTTTGTAAAATTTACAAATTAAAACAAAGGATTTCCCCTTCTGTGAAAGAGAGGGAAAATGTAACCAATTGTAACCCTTGAACCGGTAAAATGACCGTTAATTTTTCTGTTTTTATTTTTTGAAATGGCATCTTTAGGTTACAATGTTTTTCAATTAGTGATTTGGTTTGATTTAATTTAATTTTTAATTTTTAATCTCATCCAATTCAGAACCACCCATAAGTACACCCAATTGTCCACGATTATATGGTATCTTCCCTCATTCAACCAACTGCAAAGTATTTTACTCATGTTGGAATGGTGAAGCCAATAGGTATGACTGTCCACCCGGATTGGCATACGATGATGAACAGCGTGTTTGTGTTTGGGCCGATTTAGTTAATCGATGTGATAAAGCAAGTAAGTACAATTAAAAATTTTGAACATTTTTACTCATTAATTTCATTTTCTATTAATTGATAAATTAGATGGTAAAAAAAGAAGATAAAAATGTGCTCTTGGCTTTCATTTTCTTGTTTTTCATCAATTTTCACTTGTATCGTTTGCCCACCTCATCACATCTCGTTTCATTTATACTTTATCATTTCTTAATTTTTTTCTCTCCTTTACATCTCACAATCATTATCATCATCCTCCCACCTCCACCCAACTATTATTATGAGCTCTATCAATCAAATTTGACCTCAATAACGGTTAATTTGTTGAGGCAAATGAACTAAGAGAGAATTGAGTTGTGCTGAGAAAATGAAAATAAATAAATAAATAAAAATCTTCTTTTTATCACCAGAAAACAACCAAACCACATCAACATCAGCAACAAGAACATCTTAAAGATCAAGTTAAGAAACTTCAAGTGTGTGTTGTATCTTAAGTTGAGGTTTAATCACTAAATTTAGCTTAGCAATCAATTTTTTGACCAAAAGGTAACAAAATATACACTATTCTATTAATAAGTACGAACTCAAGTTTTTATAAATATAAATTTTTCTTTTTTTCCTCTTGATTATTATTAATCTGAATCAACAGAACCTTTTCCATTCCATTCATTAATTTATTCTCTCATCTGCTCACTCAAGTTCAATTGATGAAACTATCCCTAACAGATGATGATTATTTTCATTGTGACTAAGGCGATGATGATAATGATGACGAGAGCCTTGAAGTAATCTTTTACAACAGCCAATTCAATGTTTCTCTGATTGTTATTAACATGTAAATTACTCACACTTGGCTCATTTATTCTGATTTCATTTGAATCATTTCAATTTAATGATAATTTGAATTTCATAATTTTATTGTTACTCTCATTTTATGATCATTACTCTGAGTGAACATACTTGAAGTAAAGTCAATTTCCTAATCAAGTATTATTTTTATCGTGTTAATGCATTGAGTTTTTCATGTATTGATGCAATTAAATTTAAAGAGTTGAGTTACTGCTGCGACACTTCTTAACAAGTCATTGCTCATTATTAGTCAATTTGCCTTGAAGTCTGACTAATGAATCTTCAAACAGCAGTTTGATTCAAATTAATTCATCAAGTAGATGACAGGAAATTGAGATGTTTGTTTGAATTGGGTTTGTTACCTAGAAATTGTTATAGATTACCATCTTTCTAATGAATATACTATTAACTTTCGTAAAATGTTATCGCATTTTAATTTCAATATTTTGTAGCAGTTCATTAAATCATAATATAATAGCCAAATTGTCCAATTATCTGCATTTTTATTACCAACTTACATCAATCAACACCTGACCGTAATTTTAATTTAAACTTGTAATCTGAAGCTGCTATTATTTACTAAATTTAGCATTTACAGATAGTTTAATAAACCTGATAAATTTTATTACAATTAGAAAGGCTTAATTGACTTTCATCTAAATCACCAGTTTTAATTTCTTATTAATGGAAGTTTGTTAACCTCATCAACTTTCCATTTTAATCATTTCCAAACAATTGTGTGGCATCAACAATTTTCATACTAAAATCATGAAAAGCTTCAACACTTCGCAATAATTTTGTAATTTTGATCATTTTTCTCATGAATTTTTTATTTTCTACTTTCAGCTTTAACTGATGGTTTCGTTTGCGCAGAAGGCGGTGAAAGTGACCAACCTGGACATTATACTCGCCATCCTCATCCAACCGACTGTCGCAAATTTTACGTTTGCATTGATGGTGTTGCTCGTGCTTATGGTTGCTCATTCGGAACCGTTTTCAATACTGATACACTTCAATGTGATGAACCTGAAAACGTTCAAGGATGGTAAGCATTGACATGATAAATTTAACAAAAGATGGTTTTAACAATTGAAATTTCTTTCTCTTTACAGTGAAAAATATTACGGTGATATTGACCCAAAGACAGCCAAGAAGCTCAAAGGACAAAATTAGTTTACTAATTTCAAGAAGAAGAAACAATTCTCAAGCCATCTCATGATAATCATTTAATAATCCATTTTTTTTATTTTAAAGAAAATCAATTAATCAATTATGTTAATTATCCTCTGATCCTTCTTTTTTGTGTCCATTGTCAAACAAAATCTTTGATGTAAAGGAAAAATACTCACCAGATGAAATTACCAAAACTGGAATTAAATTTTTTTTCTCAAAGGAATCAAAATGTTTGATCAATTAATGCTTTAATCAAGACAATTTATTTTATAGAGTCGGAGAGAAATGGTTTACTTTTAGCCAACAAGATGGTGCCACATGAATACTCGACATTAAACAATCAAAATTTCCAAGTCAAATTAAAGTTCAACATTGAATCAAGCCATGGATCATTGGTTATCAAGGAATCATTAGATGGACACAATAACACTTTTGGCTGTTGTTAATGAAAAATATTATCATTAGGTTTTATTTACCTCTTCAAGTTGGATAATTCAGTTGAAAAACAAAAGTTTGATAGATGATCCAGTAAAGTGTTCAAAGTGATACAACAAAAGTACCCAAACAAGGACCAACAAATGAAAGATGAGCAAACAAGAAATGGAGACTGAAAATGAAAAAGCTGACCAAAGCACTATTTTCATTTCTGCTTCTGTGATTATCCAAGTCATCATTATCATCAGCTCTTCGATTTCTCTCTTTGCTTTCTTCTTTTTCTTCCTTCTCCCCAGTCTCCCTCTCTTTACTCTCTTAACCCGCTATTCCTGTCTTCATCTGTCGTCTACAGTGATTTTTTGGTCTCTTCCGTTTCATCATCTGTTTGCTTCAATAAATCTTCCAGTTGAAAGCATTTAAACGTACCAATCTCAGTCATCTTTTTTTATGTACAAGATGAAGAAGATGAAATCAAATTGATGTTCTTTCAACAATCTTTCACTAAAAGATACAAGATTGAAGCTGATACAGAAATAAAAGAGCTAAGAAGCTATTATCAAAAAAAGAGTGTAAAAAGTGAAACAAACAAATGGACTATTATTATCAAAGTCAAGGTGGTGTTTTGGTCTCATCAAGGATTGTACATTATCAAAGATGATCATCAATATGAACCGTTAAATGCTGATGTATTTCCCTGCATTTTCAACTAACTATGGGAATCAATGATGATATAAGAACGTCCCAATTTTGGAAAAACAAAGAGAATCAATTTTGCGAAGAAAAGAAAACAAAAGGAATAACGTTTCCCATGTTGAACAATCAATTATATTACTGATCATTGGTTGACAACAAAATCATTGATTGTTGGAACTTCTCCACCATTGGATAGTTGAATTTAATTAAAACATTGAAACAGTTGAAGTTATCGCAACAATTGGGCTGATTGTTCAATTTAAACTGTATATCAAGCAAAGGAAAGATGAACAAAAAAGAATGGTTATTTAATGCTGATGAAAGATTGAACCCTGAAAGATGAACAAAGAAAAAGGCAATTTCTGTCTCTCAATTAAATAGCATTATCATCTTGAGCCTTTCCTCTCATCCCTGACTATGTCCAAATGGCAAGCAAAGACCAGAAAGATGAGCAAGAAACAAGAAGCAGAAAAGGATTCCCTGCAAAAATCACTAAATCACTGTAAATGTTGTTCCCATTAGCCTGATTTAAGCCACTATTTTATCCATTAGTATCAAACCATAAAAGCAATTGTTTCATTGTTGGACAATTGATTCAATCCCCTAATTATCACCTATTAACACTTGATTATCATCTAAAAAGGAATTGGAATCAATCAATCGTAATCCAAATGGAGATTCAATATTTGAACCAGATTTTTCGTCTTTTATGGGTTAACCATTTTATTTATTGCATATGTTGTTTTTTACAAATTTTTGTGTCGTTTTACAATTTTTAAATGATTTACAATTTACAATTCAATAGGATATGTGAGTTAATCTTGAAATTGATTGAAACATGGAAACATTTAAAGTGTCAATTGTGATGAAACAAATTGAAAACATTGAGCTGAGTAGAGAGAGAGAAGAGGATAGAATTGAATTAAAGGTGTAAAAATTTTGGGTTATCCAATTGAACATCAACTTTTCCTGTCAACATCAAGTGTAACATATTCATTTGATGATCTGGGTTTAACTGTGATTGCTGTTGATGATTTACCTTGCACACTTTTACCCAAACTGTTGACATGATCAACATTGGTTGATTTGTTTAAATCATTTAAACAACTTGAATTGATTCCATTGGAATGGTTCAACTTTAAAAGGTTAACAGTGTTCACATTTTCACTGTGGCAATTTGATTGTGAGTTATCCTGGTTACACTGGTCAGGTAAAGGTTGACCATTATTTATCACAATTGGATAGCAATTTAATTTATTGGACCGATGAACAGATGAACCTCCATTAGGTAAACTGATTGATCGTTTAATTTCAGAAGGGCTCATCGGTCTACAGGTAAATGGACTATTAGATGTTACCCTTATTTGACTTGCATGGTAAATATCTTCATCTGATGAAGTTAAATGATCATAATTACACTGGCAATGGTGATGATCAATAGAGTCAAAGTGATCACCATCAGAGGGATAAAACTGGTGTCCAGTGTTGTGCTGATAAGGTAATGATGATTGATGAGTAAATGGATAAATCAGAGATTCCATTGAACGGTTCAATCGACAAGCATACAGATAAGACAAGGGTGGAGGCGGTGGAGGTGGAGGTACTGGTAGTGAAAGGTCCAGGTTAACCGATAGTTTGACTGGTGAGGGTGGACATGAGGTTGATGTTTGATCCTTGTAAGGTGGCTCTTTGGGTGAACCTTTATCCTTGCCTTGGGTTGACTTTTCGTGCAACAATTTTAATTTTCGTGTAAAATCACTTAACGATCTTGACAATGGATTAACTAATTTATTTGCTTCATTGCGATTACCGTTGGTTGATGAAGATGAGGTTGAGGGTGAGGGTGATGATGATGAGGCACAAATACTTTGATTGGTATCATTAATTTTCTTGCTTGAATTAAGGATGGTTAAAAGGGAGAGTAAATTATCATTCAATTGTTTCTGGTTTACTAGATAAATTTGCTCCTCACATTCATTAAGTTCACTTTCACCAATCAATGGAACCATCTCAAGATAATCATCGTCTTTATCCTTATTATTACCCGATGATTTGTTAACCATTAAATTGTAATTAACTTCACCTACCAAAGGATCCTCCGAGTCTATCAATCTCTGTGATTTATCTGGTTCATCAGGTAAAGAAACGGCTGGCTTTGGATTAACCAGATTAACCAGTTGTTTCTTTAAAAGGCCAACATTCTGGTAATATTGCAATGATCGGACAAAATCAATGTTTACATAATTATTGTTGATCAGATTATCAGTTAAATTGTCACTTTTGTGCGAACAGTTAACTCTTTCCTTGTCTACCAATTTATCATCATTTAAAATTGATTTATTGATTGAATGAGAACAATTGGAATTAGAATTAACTTGTGATTCGTTTAATTGTTGCTTCAGTTCAACCTTTTGCTCTTCATTGACGCCTTTGCAGCTTCCATTCAATTGAGTTGCCTTATTTGACTCGACAATCGGGTTAACCAGAAAATTACATTCTTTACATAAATCACTACCAAAGCTTATTGAATCTTTTTGATTAGTTGAATCACAATTGAGTCCATTATTACACCGGCCTGAACAGGTTGATTTATCCAATGAATTTATCTCTTCTTTCCTTAATCCTTTATCCTTTAAACCCTTTTCCAATCCATTGAGAGTATTTAAATTTTGGTCACAATTTGGTTGAGATAATTTACCATTATCATTAACTGTATTACTGGAACCATTAAAATGAATCTGAAAAGAGACACAAAAATGATTACAATGAAAAGCTGGAAAAGATGAAACTAATGTCAATTTGAGAAATGATTAAAAATGAAATTAACTTTTTCATAATCACAAGTTAATCTTTAATCAATAACCTTAATGAACACAAAATCATGATGATAATCATTGAGGGAAAAGGTGAAATTATCATTGAGAATTAGATTTACACAAATGGCAATTTCAATCCATTGATGGTACATTCAATAAGCCTAAAGGCAAAGGCTTACTTTGTTTCCCTGTTAATCACTTGAACATCTAACAGTGAAAAAAACTTTACATTTCAAAAAGATGCTCATCATCTTCATCTTCATCCTCATCTTTAGTGTATCATTTCATAATCGCAAAGTGTTTCAAAGTGCATTTCACTGACACTTAAAAACCATTTTTTCCCTTCACTTTACTCTTGTTTGTGCCTTTTATCCTCATCACTTAGCGATGACAATCATCTTGGCTCATTTGAAAGGAAACTAATTCTATCTTTTCCGTTTCTCTTTTACCATCTTTAATAATATCATCAACCCAATGAGGAAAATACGAGAAAAGAATCTCTGGATTCACACAAAAATTTTCATTTCTCATTCAATTTACAACACGAAACATGATCAAGATGAACATTTTTTGTCTTCACCAACTTTTCCCATTTCCCTGCAAACATTTCACTTTTCATCTTTTCATTCAATGCCATTTTCAATGTCATCTTCAATAATCTTTTGTTTTCTTCCTCTCAAACTCATCTTTTTTTTCATCCTCACTTTTACTTTTACATTTCATTCCATTTTAACATTTCAGGGAAATGATATATTTTTTGCTCTTCTCTTCAATGTTCAATGAAAATTTATCAAAATTGTTTTCTCCTTTTGTAAGCTTTTCTTCCTTAACACAACTAATTTTCAATTGAAGCAAACAATCGACAAGCTTTTCCCATTGTTCAACCTTCTTTACCAATCCAGGGTAAACTCGTATTGAATCATGTTGATTAAATTTTCTCAATAGTTTAACATTGAAAGAGTCATAATTGAACTACAGTCTAATCGGCAATGACTGATTTACCCATTTTGTGGTTCAAATTATCAGGCTCAAAAGCCATTGTAATTCAATTCAAGATCACAAAATTAGCTTCTTCAGGATGAAAATTGTGAAAAAAACGGAAATTATTCTTATTGCCTTTCTCCTCATTCAGTCCTTTTGTAGTTACCAATTTCCTGACAATCTTTATCCTTAACCAACATCTTCCAATGGAAAACTATTCAACAATTTGAAATATTTCACCCAAATTTGATTAAAAATAACTCTTACCTGTTGAAATTTTCTCGGAACATCATACATTTCTAGATTGTTGAGTATCATCTTGTCATCAACATCATTTTTGATTCCCTGTTAAAGATGGAAAATTTATTTTTAAGAAAAACAATGTTTTCTGGTTAGATTGGGTTAATGTTTACCTGGCATTGGGTTAAGAAGTGTTTGGGTATTTGATAGTGGCCAGTGATTAGCTTTTGAAGTAGCTTTGGATCGACCGAGTTTGACTCTGCTTGACGGGACGAGTTAAAGGTTGTCTGTTTAAGTGTATTGGTTGAGCTGCTGGTTGATTCAGCGTCAAACTCGGAGGGATACAGAAGGTGTCCATTGAGTGTTGACTTTGAGCCAATATTATCACTGGTTGGAGTCAATAGGTTGCACTCTGAGAGGCAAGAGCATATTGAGCTGCCATCCTGAAGTGCCAATAGACCCGAGTTGGCTGAACGCAACATCTTCAACTTGTCATACCAAAGCTCGGTTGAACCTGCAGCTGAACTGCAACATCCACTTGGTACTCTTTCGTTGCCTATGCTGCCATGATGATGATGATGGTGGTGATGGGTAAGGTGAAGATGATGAGCACTTCGAGGTGTTGAATACTCGAGAGAACTTTGATAACTTCCATTGCCACTAGAGATTGAACTGGTTCCACTTGAATGTGAGCTTGATGAGCAAAATGATATCCTATCTGAAAGGTTATTGCCTGAGAAGCAAAAAAGTTGTGAGAAAAAATTGAATTATTGTTTGAAATTGAGTTATGGTACCTTCATGAATAAAAAAGGCTGGTAATCAAGTTGATTGAATCTTCACTAAGCTGCATTGGAATAAAAAAATCAATTGATTTTTTACTAACAAGTCATAGTCTTCCTCATTTGTCACATTTGGTCTCGTTTTTTGTTAGGAAAAGCTGATTACTATCTCAATGACAATGACAGTCACTACTTTTATTGAAATTGATTTGATTCTAATAAACTTGTATTGACAATAATGGCAATTTTATTCTGGTTGTGCTCAAGCCAAGCATTTATGATAAATTTTATGCAAACAAAATTATCAATCCCAGTCAAATTTGGATAAATTTGATTCCAAAACGAAATAAAGTTTAAAATTTTCTTCTATCAATTTTCAAACCTTGTCTCTGATGATATTATTTATTTTCACGGAATGGTTATTAAAATCAGAAATCATTTGTTACATTAAATTGTTTACTCATTTGAATAAAGATTCGGTCAAAACTAGTCTCATTTGCAAATGAAATCAAGAGCTAAAAGCTTGAAATTAAATTGATTTGTATTGATCAAACTGTCTGTCTGATCAATTTTGATTGTCATGTTGTAACAAATGTATTAAAGTCAGTGAATCTGAAAATATTGACTGACGGTCGATCAAAGCAAAATACTTTTAAAAGTGAAAACATTTTCATAAAATTACTTAATGACTTATTCATATTTATTTCATATTTAATTGTGTTTTAATAAAATATTGCTTTTCTCACTAATAAACAATCTGATTTTGACAATCAATGGCCTGAGATTTCAAGAGATTCTGAAATAATGTAGAAACCAGAAAAAACTAAAGAACCAGATTCAGGTTCATTTTCAGAAGCCGAAGCTATTCAAGTGAAAGTCAAAGTTGACTGAATCAGGTATCAATACCAAAGGTTAGACTCAAAAATTGTGTTAGTTAACCAATCATTCAACATGATTAGTTGATCAGATTCAAAGTGATGTTATAACAATGACTAAAGTTGATCCCAACAGACGTTTGGTTGACATTATGTTCAATCCAATTGTTTCATTGAAAGTCAATCCGAACAAGTCTTGAGTTGAAGATTAACCCAAACTGGATTAACAGCCCTTTTCATTGAATAAACTGTCTTTTAAGGTATTAGTTGACTTACATTTATCTTGTTTAATGGATAATTTGCGTTTCGGTTGAAGATTACCAATTGATGCCAATTGAAATGCCTTCATTAGTTCACCAGTTTTCATCGTTGAAAGTACATGAAGACCTTCACCTGAATGGTCAGTAAAAGGAAGAAAAGAAAAGGTCAAAATTGTAATATTAAAAACATTTCATGTTTGTATTGCCAATGAATCTTAATCAACATGAGTGGAAACATTTCTCTCCTTTGATTGAGAAAGTAATTAAATTACAGGGGAAAAGATTAGGAATATAATGAAATCAAAGTTAACTTAATTTATCACCATTAGTATGACAATTGATACAGCTAAATGTAGTCTGACTTGTTACTTCAATAATCAAATCTATTTCAATGTTGTTGTGTTGTTTTTATTTACTTAATGTGATTAATATCATTGGAAACGAATAAGAAAGAAGAAAAAATTTATTTATTTTTCGCCATGCAACACCAAAAATTGTATTGATTAACAATCAATTCATTGAGCAATATTTTTGTGTATTGAAAGCAAAAAAGTTTGGCAAAAGCAAATTCATGATATCATGAAATATTGAACTGGAATAAAGAAAAGGAGTGAAACAAATTATACATGTAATAATGATATTGATCAATAAGAATCAACTGTTTTACACTTGTATAACTATCAATCAAAAATGCAACAAAATGTTTCATTTGTTTCGGTACAACTGAACATCCAGTAAAGATGACAAACAAAATGTTTAATCGAAAGCTTCGAACGGTTCTACTTTGCTCAGAATTTTTCAAAAAGTTCAATCACTCGATCAACGTTTTTCATTATTTATTCTTACCTTTACCACAAGATGAACCACCTTCAAAGCAAAATTTGCCATTAAGTACTCCATATCGTCTGAGATCGGGCAGTGACCAGAGTCCAGCCAATCTTGGCGGATTACCAGAGACAAGAGCAAAGCACCCATCGCGAATGTGAAGACGACTTGGTCCAACAGTTAGTCTACTTTTGGCTGGAAATGAAACAATTTCAACTGGATATTGATGTTCTAAGGGTATAAATGAGAGAAGAAGGAAAGAGTTGGAATGAATTATTCTGAAAGTAAATTGATAAAGAGATGAAATTCAAGGAAACAGGAAATTGATGGATAACTTTAGGTATTGTTGTAAACAAAGGGAAAGAAAAGTAAAAGTTGAATAAAGCTTCAACTCGACTGATGACCATTACAGGGTAAACAGGGTAAAAGGAAAAAATAGAGTTCTTCTTCTTGAAACAAAACTATTTGTTCCCTGTCAGATTCATGTCAACCATGTTTCCTCTCTTTCTCTTTCTCTTTCTTGTCTAGTTAGGAAGCCACTTCTTTATACTCATTGAACCTTGTCAACTGATGATGGGCTGAGAAAAGCATCCGACTCTAACTCTGGCTAACCCAATTGCCTTCTTGGTCAGCCTTATGGTTAAGGTTAACTTATTACCCTCAATGGTTTCATGGTTCATGACTTTTTGTTTTTTTCATTTTTCTCTTTATATCAACCTCTTTTTTTCATATTTATAATACTTGTAATAGTATTTTTGTTTGTTTGGTCATTTCATTGCAATACAATCAATGGAAATAATGATTCAACAAATGTAACCAAATAATGTTATTACATGATTAATGTTTGATGAACATTTTTTCCCCTCTCATGTTTAGTAAACTATCTCGGAATCATGAATGTAAACATTAGACCTGATGAAATGCAAAACACACCAACAATATTATTATATAATTATTACATTGACAAATATTTACAGACTCATCTTGGGATGAAAATTTGTAAATAAAAGTATCAAAAATAAGAGTGAACCTCTTAGAGATTACCTAACCGATTAGCATGAAACTTTATATGAATATGCATGTATATTGTCCAAAAAGATGTTTGACGAGACATGTGAATTGGGAGATATTGATAAACGATCGAAAAAACTTTAAAGACCTTTTGAGGCCAAACCAGTTAGGACGAACGGTTGATATACAGAATCTCCAAACTATTAGCTGCTTTACATTGAATACAATCAGAATCTGCGCTCAAGAACATTGTCTGATCTGATCAAACGGTTGGAAAGGTAAAATTTATTTCTCAAAACCATTTGATTACCGTGATGGAAATGGTGATGGTACACGTGATTACGGTTTTTTTTTAAATTTTCTTAATCAAATTGCTGATTTTTACGCAGATGATTGTATGATTAAAAATTGTATAATTCTCCGAGCTTTGTCTTACTTCAGGTCACCTCTCTGTGGTCGTTCAACGAAACAATCTTTCTTAAAATGATTCATGAACAATTTCCAATCTGCGAATCCGAAACAGCAACCTTGGCAAACAATCAAGTAATTATTGACAAGAATGTGTCCCATGAGATTATTGGCATCTGAAACTTCAAACTCGCCCTTGCATGGACAGCCATCATAATCGCAAGTCAGAATTTTATCAGCAATTATTCTAGCTCGCACAGTCGCGATCTTATGGTACGAAACAAATTTTGAGCTGGTCCCTGGTCTTCTCTTATAAATACGGAATCGAATAGATTTTTTGTCGTCGATCGGGTGTTTGTGGGCTGTGTTACACAAATAAATGCCGAAATAATCGCCAGATTCGTTAAACTTGTAGATTTCATTTGAATAAATAGTTGGTATTATCTGTTCAGTAAAATAGTTCCAAAATAGATGCGCGGAAGACTGGTCTGAATTTTTTCCAGTTTCGAGGAGAGCACGCATGAAATCATTGCATGTTGCGAATTTTGTGATGAGTTTTTCTTGTTTGAGAGGATCGTAAGCAAGCGTGACAAGATCACAAAATTTCGCTGCGATTTGGTTAGGAACAGCTTTAGGTTTTGGCTGTTCATAAATTGATTTTTTTGCTGTACCTAGAGCAGGATAATAGCGCCAATGATCTGCAAATTGTGGATTCTCTTTCGATAAATGCATGATTCAGCGTGCACGTTGGTCGGTTGTTTTCCTTTGAACACTGAATTACATTTTACGCAGTGAAACGTAACCTTTAAGACATCATCCGCGATGTGTCTTCTCATTTTGACATCGAGCAGTTCCTTGCTGCATTTTTTTGCATCAGTACAAAGAGTGCAAGTGTAATTCCGGGCATCATCTTTTGGACATTTTGCCATCTCTCGTACCACAGCATTATTTAAAGTAATCAGATCATTATACTTGCCATGTTGATCAATGATTTGGAAATCAGAACAATAATCACATTCATTTTTTTGTGTGTGTTTCCATGCGACACATGGCGCCGATGAGATCCAAATCATCAAAATTTTTTTCAACAGAAAACGCTTGAGCTTCTCGTTTTTCGATCTAATCATTCATAAAATCAATTGCAAACTGCCAAAGAAGAGGCCAAGGTGCATCTTTTTCAGGATAAGTTGAAGGCGTTGCGTACAAGAAGTTGAGCTTATCGTCATCAATAGTTTTGTCAAGCTCACCGCCTTTTTCTTTTTCATGTACAGATGACGTTTTTGAGTGGTCTGGTGAGTTCGCTGTAGACATTTTGTCTGCCAATCTTGTTTCATATTGCTGAAGCAAAATCTTCAACTCGGGTGCAATTGGATGTGTATCTTGCCATTTCATGACCAATTATTCGCTCAAAATATCCTTGCCAGAGTAACATAGTTCTTTCAAATCAGCAGGCATTTCTCTTGCTTTTTTTTTGAAACAATCGCTCTTCTTCAACATCGATATTGTAGAGATAGAAAGGATAACGCTTCGAAGATTTAACATTTTCATTCATACCATCAACTGTAACTCTTGTGAATAGTTCAAAAGTATGTGAATCCTGCGCAGTGATTGTAGACAGCTCAACGACTCGCCATTTTGTAACACCGGAAGCTGGGCCACTGAAGAGCATAGCGTAAAGTTCATTGTCTGTTCTTTTTCGTTTAGACATTTAAAGAACGAATTTGCGCACTTGAACACAGAATTAGAAATAAAAGCTTTGGAATCAGAAAAATTGAAATAAAACTGGCTGCTGATTTGAAAGAACTATGTTATGGACGTGTACCACGGTGAACGGTAATGGAAACACTCATATCCTTGGCAGGCATGAGCTATGAGCAGGTACAATAACAAATCTGAAAATCTGAATCCAATCTGAATCAATTGACCTTCAAATTTCAGTTAGAAGTCAAATAACTGACTCAGTTTTTCAATCTGATGCAGCTCATGGTTCGAATCTCGAAGTCTTAGTTTGATCGTGATTTGCTTGTGAATTTTTAATTATTACTTCTCAAGTTTATTTTTTACAATGTTTTTCGATGCGCTGCCAGAGGAAATTTTGCTCATCATTTTTGGTGAATTAAAGAATAGGATGATTTATGTAACTGCCACAAAGGTAAGTTTGTGCAAAAAATCATGAATCAACTCCTTTATTCAACTAACCTGTGTGGATAAATTATGGGACTTTAACCCATACAGATACATTAAAAAAAGTCCCATAATTTATCCACACAGGTTAGTAGGCAACCAAGAATGTTTTGATGCTCTTAGAATGTATTGATTTTAAGCAATTAAATTCGTTCGATTGTTTCGATTTTTGTGATATATTTATTGAATATTAGCTTTTTTATTTGCACCAAATTACATGTTTAAAAACATTAATTAACATACTTAAATTTTGATTTGTTTAAATCATCATTTTTTTATTTTTTTATTTTAAAATTTAATTGTTGATCAAGCAAAATCCACATTCATCTAAAGCTTGAATTCAATATAATCACTGATAAAAATTCTAATCATAACCATTGTTTAATTATTCTAGGTTAATAAATATTTAATTTAACATTGGATCCCCATAGAAAGGTTTTTTAGATTTTTTGGATTTTGATAAAAAATCCTATTGTGATGACCCATGTATTGGATTTGCTAACCGATATCTTATGTAGTTTCGTCACCACCGGCCCCAAATCTATGAGATTTGACTATGACTACAATCTCGTCTTTCCCTGCATGCAATAACGAATGAGAATTTTATAAACTTGAAACTTCAAAGCAAATCTTTTTTAATCAAAATCTGCACGGTTTACATACCTAGTGCTTGGACCATGTTTAGACCAATGCAAGCAAATAGAGTAACGAGGAAGAGAGACACAATTTTTGTTATTGCATTTGAACTTAAATTTTAGTTTTAAGGAAACTGTAAAATACAATGAAAAACTCGACAAGCTTTAAACTTGAATTGATATCATTTCTTTGGAATAAAACGTTTTTATACTCGACTTTTACTTGCTTAATTATACAATTTCACTCATTCAATTACATCTGAATAAATATCATGATGACAATAGACATTCACTTGAGGAACTTAATAAACATCGTAAAATTTTAAAATTATGATACAATGTAAGTCATCTGCGAATCATCAAATCGGCTCCTACTCTTTACTTTATTTTCTCATCTTACTCATCTTTGTTAGCTGGAAAAGCAAAGGTTATTTGAATGTTAGCTCGTGCTAAATTTTATTGTATTTGCTTTGAAATTATCATGAGTATACATTGACGAGGTCTTGGGCAGGTGATCAAAATATTAGATTGATATCAAAATAATAGATTGATATTTCGCAAATGCTAATGTATTCAGTGGAAAAGAATTTTATTTAAATTTGCTTTCCTTTGAAGTAGAAAGAAAGCTTTTTTAATAAATCGACCGTAAAGACAAAGATTATCACAATTTAAACTCACAATGATTACACTTTTATCTAATTGTCTTACCGATCAATTCGTCCATTGGATTATCCAAACACATCGAATGCATAGAAGAAAAAAAGCATTCAATTTCGTTGAGAAAGAATTCGAAATTCGAAATTGTGTTTGAAACATTTTTTCTCAACTTTTAATATGATTGATGTAAATTTCCGGTTAAATCTTGAATTGAAATAGCATTTTCATTTGAAAAGACAGTTGAACAGATTCTTAAAGGTCATAATGATAAACACGGCTCTCAACTTCGATGTTCAAGCGCCAAAACAATTTCATTCATCAGAAAATTCAGATTCTTACTGTCCATTGAATATCAACGTCTTTATCATCATAATCGCCACAATCAGGTAAATAAATTTTACTCTTTTTGCTCCCATAATTTCACTCTTAAACAATACACCCTTTAGAAGTCGAAATATTCACTAGATCAATTCAATTGTTAGGTTGACAATTCAATACTGGGATTAAACAGAAGCTCATGTTGACTTGTAGTTCATTTGTCATGGTATCAGTTTTATTTGGATGAGAATTAAATGAAAATTACTTGAGGGTATTTCAATTGAATGATGATTACAAGCTGTATTGCAATTATTACTGTTGGGCAAGTTGATTTAACGTTATTTGGATTCTCAAATGGTTGGTTTGGTTAGATGTGTTGATAGAGAGGAGAAAGGTGTAATTAATTGAATAAATACCTTGAGGAAGGTGAGATCTTATTGTTGTCTGCCAATGGAGTAAAGTTTCCCTTGAATTAAATGCCAACAACAGAACCATATCTTGACAAATTAAGGCCAAAGTATTGCTCTCCTTATCAAAGGTAAACCCAGTTTCCAGGCCAATGTACTTTTCGAGTGACAATGAAGCCTTAGTTAATCCACTTTTAATCCTTTCCTTTTCATCTCGATAAACCTGCAAGTGAAGGCAATCTGGAAAACAATGCAACAGAAAAGTTAAAATTCAATCAAAATTATAATATTGAACAATAAAAAATGAAATTTTTTCTCCAATTGAACAAGTGAATGTTATCGATTAAAATGGAAACAAGGTTAAAATGAATACTCAAGTATGCAAATTGTCATCACATTTGTATCACAATCAACATTTCCTTTTCCAATTTGCAAGTTAATCTTTTTTTTGCTATGCAAAGTTGTATTGATTGGAATGAACAATTTAATAAAAATATTAATAATTTGTAATGATGAATGAATGGAATAAATTGCCAACATTGTTTCATTTGGTTAAACAGGTTTCATCTAATTTCATGATAGTTGACATCATTTTCTGGTAGACACAGGATGATGACGAACATCATGTGAAATGATATTAGAATGTCGACTTTTAGAACAGTTATTAAGAAATAATGGAACCCAAAGGAATATCATTTAAAGATAAACTGAATGATGGCGAGCATCATCATCATCATCATTATTATGATTATTTTGATCAATCCATATTTGACTTTTTTCCTTCTCTTCTGCTTGTCCAGATTAACTTCATTCAACTTGATTGATACAAAAAGATGAACATCATCTTTTCTGGCCTTTCTTTCATTATCTTTACTGGACTTGCCATTGTAACTCTAATCATTATTACCATTTTCAATCAGTTTGATCATCTTGTTCAAGAAAACGGTAACAATGATGAGGCCGACATGCTCATTACTGGTTAAACTTGAAAGGATGTGAAGGGATGAAGATGAAGGAAAAAGGATGAGGTTGAATGGAATGATAAAGATGAAGTTTAGATGCTAATGATGTACATCTTTTTTTACTCATGATAGCGATGTAAAAGGAGAAATGATTATGATGATGATGATGATGATTAGTCGGGAAGTTCGGTAGGTGGATGATTGACCTTCAATGGTAAGAAGCAAAATGACATAATTTTTCATCATTTTCTTGTTCTTCTTTTATTTGGGACAAAAGCATCTTCCCTCGTCTATTTATGATAATTTAGACAATAAAAGGAGGAACCAATCAAATACATCTTCTGAATATTTACTCATCATCATTGTCTAGCTTCTTTTGTCCTTTACAGTGCAATGAATTGTCTGAAATTAGGAATAAATTTTAACTTATTTTACTCAAGTTCAAATTGAATGTTCAAAATACGACTTTGCTATTGGTAAAAGTTAAATCAATTTAATCAAGGATACAAAATGTTAAAAGATCAGAGATTCAACTCAAGTCCATCTTTGGTTTTTCATTATTATTGCAACAAAACCTGATTAAGATGTTTTTGCCTTCAATGTTTGACTCTGAAAGTCAACTTGATCTTGACTTCACCTCGAGTCAGTTAGTTGACTTGTCAGACACAAGATAAGTTTAAAAACAGAAACTAAGGAAACTGGATTACATGATATTTTCAATTAATATATGATACTAAATAATGAATTTAGGTTTAATAATCACTAATTAATCAGCCGCAAAGTGACAAAATGATTGAAGGAGCATAAGGTTATTTTGACAAGAAAATTTACTTCAATAATTGCAATATGAAACGGACATTTTGCTCAACTTGATACAAAGTGATTATTGGTTTATTTCAAAAGTTTAATCAATTGTTGATTGTGTTTATTGGAAATTGTTTTTATCTTTACTCAAGAATCACAATTGAATCTAGACTTTTCCACCAAAATGACCAATTTCTTGTACTTTTTCCGCCCTTTTTCCCAACTCTCTTATCTTCACCTTTATCATTTTACCTTTTGACTTTTTTTGCTTGTTTACCTCAAAAAGACTATTAAAAGATATTTCACAGCAATTTACAGAGGATTAAAGTACTTGACTTTTCTCACTATTGTACTTTCTGGTCATTCCTTTAGTTATCATCATCATGTTCAATCATTTTCTTGGAAGAAGCAAAGAGAACGCAAAAAGACTGAAATTGGCAAAATACTAGTTGACACATTCCACATCAATGGGTAATCTTAAGACAGGAGGAAGATGGTTAACAAGAAAAGATGAAAACTGCGAAAAGAAGGAAAAGAAGAAAAGAAATGAAGATGAAGATGATGAGCAGAGAGTTTGATGGAAACCATTTAGAAGGCAGAATAAACATGGCGATGAAGATGATGGTGAAGATGAAGCAGATTGATTAAAGATAGAGTAATATATCTCATAAGAGGATACGGATCATTTGAAGCAATTAAGAAGCAATCCCTTGGAACGAAAGTTAACCAACAGAGGAAGAAGCAGATGAAGGCCAGGAAGGACAATAGAGTTACCATGAAATTAGGTTTTGGGTAATGATTTGGTTGCAATCAAGAAATGAGTTTAATCCTGTTTTCTGTTTGCAACTTCTGGTCGTTTCAGATTCTTTGACGACCAATTGCCAACTTTCTCATGGTGAAATGTGTTCTTGATTAATTCAACTGATTACAGCAAATAATGAATCATGTCTATTAGTCTTTTGAGAAATTAAATTTTCTTCTCAACCTTTTCAAAGCAAAGGTAACATTTAATTAACAGTCAATTTGTTTGCATTTGTTTTAATCAAGTTTAACATAAAACTTAATCAATAACTTGTTTATCCATTCTTGCTCTTGGTTCCTGTCCTTGCCTTTTTCATTCATTAAATTGATTCATTATGTGAGATGAAAAAGGTGGATCCAAGTTTTTATTACAAAAATTGGGTGGTTCTCGGTGATGATTAGACTCTGGTACATTTGTGAATATCAAATGAGATGGGAACAGAAAAGATCAATTCCAATTTAATGTTTTATTATCTGTAAAAAGGTAATTTCAGGTATCCCAGTTTCTGGTCCGTTTTCTGGTTCATTTGTTATTGGCTTGTTGCTAAGTTAGACAGTGATTTAGGGTTGAGATTTGGTGTTGATGTTGGTTACGAGTTTAAGAGATGGAGCAATGGAAAGACTATTTCAATGAAAAGATTTATGGATTGTATTAATGAACAAGTTTACTTTGTAAATGCGCTACTTTTCAATGGTTAAAGATTTTATTTGAAACGTAAAAAAGTGTGAAGTCGTCAATTATGGTTTGCATCAAATTGGCCTTGAATGATGAACGACTTAACTGCTCGTTTAAAAGTAAAGGCCACTAAAATGATCATCTTAAAGCAACATTTCTCTTCAATTTTACATTTATAACTGTCCAGTTGAGAGGATAACAAATTGGTTTTCAAGCTAAAAAATTTCTAATTTTATCACAGACCAATGCTTTTCAGCTTTATAATCCTTTCTTGAGTCGATTACATCAATATCTTTGACCAGAGTTATTTATAAAGCATAAAATGACAGAAATAATTTGCATTTGATTTATATTACTATGGATTTAGCATGGAAAACAACTTCTGATTACCGATTAGACACCAGGAAATTATGAAAATTATTATAAATGCGGAATACGATAAGTTATTCATCGTGATACTGAGATTCCATTATCTCGGTAAATCATGAGTAGCGTTAATAACATTGTTAAGATGTAAACATGAGTTTAATATTACTAATTAAGTTGTTGCATCCTTGCAAGTCATTGCCCTTGTAATTTAATACTTTCAATTTCATGTGAAAAACTTTATTAGGTTAAAAGCAAAATCAAAAATATGCACCTCATCATGTGTTTATATCATTGGTAACAGCCAGTTAATGTCATCTTTGAATATCTATATTTTTCCATTGAAACCAGGGTTATCACCACCACTATGCAATACTCCGCTAAAACGACAAACTGAAGTGGCTCTATGTTGGTGCGAGTCCTGATTATTGTATACTACTAGAATGGCCGACTAGGATTTGCACAGCTTTTTAAATGCTCTTGAAGCTCTCTCGAGTTCCGATGAAACAAGTAAAAATAATTCTTGTGTTTTACATTTGTTTGTCCCTTCTGTGCAAGTATTTTGCATACAGCAAGTTGTGCATCAAAAGTGCCTTAAAGTTTTCTTCCTGATTCGAGTATTACACCATAGACTTCTAAGCCATCGACTAACAAGCAACAAGATTGACAGAATGAAAAGGGATGAAAAACCAAAGTAAATGTTTTGTTCAATAAGCTACAGAATTTATGAGAGATAAAAAAAGTAAAAGTTGATCGAGACATGATAAGATGATGGTAGAGATGAACAGAAGATGAAAGAAAAGGTAAAAATGAATTGAATCAGCATATAAAAAGTATTATGAAATGAAAAGTTTGACAATATTAGATGGAACCTCAAGGGATTCCATGATAATACGAGTTCTATTGGTTGGAACAGATATCCTCAGGGTTATCATTATTATCATAATGCTCATCATCAACTGGATAACAGGGAAAAGTAAGAAAAAAGGAGAAACATATTTACAAATGAAAAAGGTAAGTTTGAGTTGATAAAAGTTACCAAAAGAAATCATTCTTTTTTCCAGGTAACTTTACATTTCCAGATAAACTTGGATATTCATCAAGTTTCAGGGCTTTTATCATCCAAGATAAACATGATTATTATCAGTGTTTATATCATGTTCTTTCAGAGCATTTTCTCTATCAAATCATTGAAAGGAAAAAGAAGAAAAAAATTGAATCAAGAAACATTTTCTTTTCCATTCTAATTGTGTGTTTCAACTTTGATTCCAGTTTCATTGTTTTCCTTCTTTTCTCCAGATAATTCAGAGTCTTCAATTGATCAACTAAAATGATGAACAATTAAATGATTCATTGGATTCTGTGAGAGTGAAAATTTTCAGATGAAATTCGATGAAATTTGGAAATGAAATTTGATAAAAGAAGCTCGAAAAAAAGGTTAAATTGAACACTTTGTTCATCGAGTTAACTCATTTTCACTTTCAACATTCAATTGAATCTGTTTTTCCTTTTATTTCACTGATGCGATTTCAGCTCATTTTTCAATCAAATTGAACAGAAACTCAGCAAATTGAACATTGTCAATGAATGATGAGTTTTAATGAAAAATGTGCTGCCAAATAAAATTGATA